GCTGACTGGCCAACTCACAGTGTTCCTTTTATTCCCAGGCATGGTGGGGCATGCCTATAATCCTGGCATTTAGGAGGCTGAGGCAGGAGGATTTCGGTAAGTTAGAGGCCAGCTTGGGCTACACAGAGAGACCTTGTCTCAAAACAAACAAACAAAGCCCTAAAGAAAACAAGCATTCTCTTTATTATTATTTCCCATTAGGCTTGTGCTTAAATGCATCTTGTTGCTTTTATTTGCACTTTACCATCATGTCCTGAACATATTTTATGTCAATACAGACTAACAGCATGGAGTGGGCTGGTTGACTATCCATTGTATGGAGGTACCATTATTTATTTAACCAGCCTTTGAAACTGGGAATCTAGAAGAATGTTATTTATTTATTTATTTACTTTGTACCAGGGATTGAATGCAAGACCTTGCACTTGTGAGGCAGGTGTAGTGCCACTGAGTGAAATCTCAGTCCTCATTACTTTTTTGATATTACAGTCACCATATTTACTTTTTAAAAAATTGTAATCAGGGGCCAGGGATTTAGCTTGTGGTTCCACAGCCTGCCTCAAAAGTGCAAGGTCCCGAGTTCCCCCAAAAAAAAAAAAAAAAAAAAAAAAAAAAAATTGTGGCCAGGCATGGTGGTGCATGCCTCTAATTCCAGAACTAAGGAGGCTGAGGCAGGAGGATTACTGTGAGTTCGGGACCAATTACATAGAACTTGTCTCAAAAAAAAATTGTTAAAAAAAGTGGTAAAATATATAACAAAACGTATAGTTCAACTGTGTGTGTGCGTGTGTGCATGTTTGTATTGCTGAGTATTGAATTCAGGCTACATTGAGCTATACCCTCAGCCCCCAATTTAATGAGTAGCTGGTATTACAAGCATGTGCTAGCATGCCTGACCCATTTAACCATTTGTTGTTGTTGTTTTGAGACAGGGTATGGCTATGTAGTGCAGGCTGACCTCGAACTTGCACTGATCCTCCTGCATCAGCCTCCCCAGTGCTAGGATTAACAGGTGTGCACTACACGTCCAGCTCAGTGTAACCATTTGAAGTGTGCACTTTGGTGGTATTAAGCACACTTGCCTTGTTGTGTAACCATCACGGCTGTGCATCTCTAGAACTTATTTTCTGAAACTGGTGGTCTGAACCAATTAAGCAATAACTCCCTATTCTCCAACCCACTCCTCACTGTCCAGTCCCCAGGGACACTTTTCTACTTTCTATCTCTCTGAAGTCACCTATCCTGGCTATGTTATGTAAGTGGAATCATATAAAATTTGTCCTTTTGTGATTGGCTTACTTTACTTAGCATAATACCTTTAAGGTTGATCCATGTTGTAGCATATATATGTAGCTGTTTCCAAGCAAATGATAAAACTAAATACCTTCAGACCAACCTGTAACACATATCTGAATTTCCTGGAGTTTTTGTTTGTTTTTTGAGATAGAGTCTCACCGTGTTGCCCTAGGCTGGTCTTGAACTCCTGGGCTCCAGTGATCCTCCTGCCTCAGCCTCAGCCTCCTGAATAGCTGGGACTACAGGCAACTATCACCTCCCCACTCCTTTCTTTTTAAGGCTGAATAATCTTCCACTGTAGGTATGTACCACATTTGTTTCCTCACCCATCTGTCAATTGTTAATTCATTCACTTGGCTTGTTTCTGCTTTCTGGCTATTGTGAATAATCCTGCCATGAACACGGGTATACGAGTACCTGTTCAAGTCCCCACTTTCTATTCTTTGGGGGGATATACCAGAAGTGCACATGTTTTTGGGGGAGAGGGTCTGGGGAGCCAGCCCAGGATCTTACCCATGCTAGGAAAGTGCTCTGCCACTGAGCTACACCCTTAATCCCCTGGACATATTATGCCGTGTTTGCAAAAGCTGCAGCCTTGGTGGCTCTCACCTGCTCAGGGTGGAGGGGCTGCCCTTGTGGTTGAGGGGTTGCAACCAGCTCCCACACATGCTTCCCCCTCTCCTCTCCCGTGTTGCAGGCTTCCAGTCCTACCCAGAGTTGTCATCCCTGCTTTGCTTTTCTTCTCAGCACTGGCATTTCCTGCCAGGATAAATGTGAACATTGTTGTGTTTTTAGTTAGCAAATTGGGTCTTCTTGGTTTCAGCTCCTGAGTGGAAGGTTTGAGCCAGCAGCTGCCTTTACTGTCCGCGTGGTGATTCTTTTTTTTTTTTTTGGTTTTTTGAGACAGGGTCTCACTATGTAGTTGAGAATGCCCTGGAACTCACTATGTAGCCCAGGCTGGTCTTGAATTCACAGCGATCCTCCTGCCTCAGCCTCCTGAGTGCTGGGATTACAGGCGTGTGCCACCACGCCCGGCCATGTGGTGATTCTTGGGGAGATAGCGGGCGGTCCTTGCTGGCCCCTTGTAGGAGCTGGGTGCCTGTCCTAGTGGAACCTGGACACACACCCACATGAGAAGTCCTTCCACGGCTTTCCCACCCTTCCACCAGCATGACACCAAGGTTCACACGGGGAAACTGGCTTTTTTTTCTTTTCAGTTGAGACAGTCTCATTAAGTCGCTAAATTGCTCAGGCTGAGATTACAGGCGCATGTCACCATTCCCAGCTCAGACAGTGGACAGACATTTAAGTGGTTTCTACCTTTTGCCTGTTGTGAATAGTGCTACTGTGAAACTGGGTATACCAGTATCTGAGTTCCCGTTTTCAATTTATTTTGTGTATGTACTTAGAAGTGGGACTGCTGGATCATATGCTGATTTTATGTTTACAATTAAAAAAAAAAATCTCTCTTCTTTTTTCTTTTTTCTTTTTGTATCAGGAATTGAACTCAGGACCCTACATTTGCCAGGCAGGCACAGCTGGTGTTGCTGGGCTGTATCCCTGGCCCTGTGTTTACGTTCTCAGGAAATGCCAGACTCTTTTCCACTGTGGCTGCAACACTTCACATTCCTGCTGGCAATGCTAGAGGATACAATTTCACCACATCCTCCCCAGCACTTGTTATTTCCTCTCTCTGTCCCTGTTTTTTTATAGCCGTCTTAGTGGGTGTGAAGTGGAATCTTATTGTGGTTTGGGCCTGCATTTCCCTAATGACTAGGAAGGTTGAGCATCTTTTCATGTATTTGTTGGTCATTTTTATACCTTGGGAGAAATCACTTGTTTGCTGCCCATTTTAAAATTAGGTTATAATTTGTGTGTTTTAACTTTTTACCTAGAAAGTAATTTTTCTTTCTTTCTTTTATTTTTTTTTATTTTTTTGAGACAGGATCTTTCCATATAGTTTAGGCTGGCCTGAACTCACTGTGTAGTCCAGGGTGGTCTCAAATTTAGCTCAGTGGTGCTGCCACCTGCCTTGCAAGTGCAAGGTCCCGAGTTTGATCCCCAGTAAAAAAAAAAAAAAAAAAAATCCTCCTGCCTCAGCCTCCCAAGTGCGGGGATCACAGGCATGTACCACCACACCTGGCACTTAGAAATAATTTCTTATATAAAGCTTACAGCACAAAGAAATAAGTACAAAGATATCCATTTAAATTTAAATTTTACCCAGACCCATCCGTTATTAACATTTGCCCTATTTGCTTTCTTACTCTAGTTATCTATTAATTTTTCTAGAACCACTTGAGACAGTAAGTTGCATATATTATGGTCTTTTACTCCTAGATTCTCAGAGTAAGAATATTTATTTATATAACCGTGCAGTAGGACCAGGGATGTAGCTCAGTGGCACCACGCCTACCTGGAAGGCACAAGTTCCATCCCCAGTATTGAGTTTGATCCCCGGTACTGAACTAAAAACAAAAAACTGTAGTCCCATAACCATAGTTATTGACTTCAGCAAATTTGACAGTGATATGAAATTTTTTCCAACTGTAATCTATGGTCTGCATTCTGATTTTACCAGATGATCCAGTGACAGGCGTTTCCCCTCCAGTACAGAGCCCAGGCTGGGGTCCTGCACTGCACGGAATTGTCCTAGCTCTGTCATCTCCTTCACTCTGAAGTAGGCCTGAAACTTTCTTGGTCTTCTATGACTTTGGTTTTGTTTTCCCCTGGGTGCTGAGGATTGGACCTAGGGCCTCTTGCGTGCTAAGCACATGGAGTTCTACCCGCCGAGCCACACCCTATCTTTTGGATGATAGTCTTCTAAAAAAGGAAGAGTTCCTCAATTTGGGCTTGTCTGCTGTCTCGTTACGGTTGGATCTGGATTATGCATTTCTGGCTGGAACACACACTGTGACCCATGCAGGGCTTTACATCTGGAGGTTCATGAGGCCATCTGCCCCGGAGATGATGTTTTAATCTTTGTCAAGGTATTAGCTCCTTGGGCTGAGGATTTAGCTCAGTGGTGCTGCAGCCTTCCAAGAAAGAAAGAAAGAAAGAAGAAAGAAAGAAAGAAAGAAAGAAAGAAAGAAAGAAAGAAAGAAAGAAAGAAAGAAAGAAAGAAAGAAAGAAAGGAAGGAGAGAAGAAAGAAAGAAAGAAAGAAAGAAAGAAAGAAAGAAAGAAAGAAAGGAGAGAAGAAAGAAAGAAAGAGGCCAGGAAAGAAAGAAAGAAAGAAAGGAAGAAAGAAAGGAGAGAAGAAAGAAAGAAAGAGGCCAGGGATTTAGCTCAGTGGTTCCGCCTCCTGCCTCGAAAGCGCAAGGTCCTGAGTTTGATCCACGGTACCAAAAAGAAAAAAAAAAAGTGAGCTCCTTCTATTGTGTAGCTACTCCTTTCCCCCTGGCTACTGGCAGGCACTCAAACAGACACTTGAAGGCCATGCTCCTGTCCTGCCCTTCACCGGAAATAGCCCCCTAGATTTGTCACCACCGATGAGTTTTGCACACAAGCTGCCTCTATGTAGGTGGCCCCCTTCTGACATCTTCATTCTCTAAGTTAAAGCATTAGAAACAAGCAGCCTTTCTTTCTCTTCTGGCCCAGTGCTGCTTTCCTGCCCAATACTTGGCCTCCCAGAAGAGACCCAGGTTCAACTCCCTGGCTCAAAGTCCATCTCTTGTGTGGGCAGCCAAGGCTGGCTTGCAGTGAGCAGGGTTGGAGGAAGCTCATTTCATTTCCTGTCTCAGTAACTTTCCTTCCTCATTGCAGCTATAGCCTCGATTAAGAGGACCACAAAGTCATCCAGTCACCAGCGTGGAGGTGCCAGAAGCCCTAGTCCCCATAGTGGGCCTTGGTGATGGAGGATTGTGAAATCACATGGTGAGGCTGTGACGGCTCAGCAGGAGCCTGTGATAAGATGCCTAACAGTTAGGAGAGCTGCTTTGAGGTCTGGAGTGTGGAAGCCCACAGGAAGTGACTCTGTGCTGAGCTGATACGTCCTCCTCTCATCCCCAGACTGGGACAGGAGCTGCAGGCTGGCGTGGCTGGGAGGATGTCCGCACTCTGCCCTGATGCTGGGCCAGGAGGGCTGCAGGGCCAGTCCCTGGGGGCAGGCAGGGACTCGGCGGCCCTGGTCTCATGTCAGTGTCCCCCTTCCTCCGTGCACAGCCCCTGGAGCCTGCCTCGCTGGCGAGCTTATATGGCTGCTGCCATTCTCTGCTACATCAACCTCCTGAACTACATGAACTGGTTCATCATTGCAGGTGAGGAGGGCAGATATCTCGGGGCAGTACCTACTGGTCTACTCCACCAGCTGGTAGCTGTGTATTAGTGGTGGCCTTGCCTCCAGTGTGCTTTTTTCTCTTAGGCACATGTCTGGTGTTTGCACCCTTGGAGGGGATTTCTAGTCATGGCTGCATGAGAGGCGGTTCCCATCTGAGCCCCCCAAACTAAGAGGGAGCACAGTAAGCATGGGGACAAGGGCATAGGGAGTGGTAGGGAGTGGGTGAGGACCTCAGGGAGGACTGGGCTTTGCAAGCAAAGGTTGCAAGGCTGTGGGTGGAGCTCCTTGGATGAAGTTTTGGAGGACAGAGCAGATTAGCCCAGCTCCCAGGTGACAGTGACTTGTACTGGGTCTGTTTGTGGGACAGGAAGCTACTGTCAAAGCTTGCACATTCTGCTTTGCTTCTTGTAGGCCCCAGAGGCAACCTGGTTCTGTCTTCTGGGACGCTTCATTTATCTATTCCAGATTGTCAGGGACTCAACTTGTTTTTCTCGTCATTCATTCACTGACTCATCCATTCATCCAAGAGCCAACCTTTCTTTCTTTCATCTCCCATTCATTCCAGATCGAGCACTAATTATAGGCAGGAGCCACTGTTGGGCCACTGGGGACCTGGGAGGAACTCAGCTTCTTGGTTCCTGAGTGCAGGAATGAGCGTCTCATGGGTATAAGAGAGGCTCATGAACAGCCTGGAAGGCAGAGATGTGGTCAGACAAGGGAGGCAGAGGTCAGACTAGGGAGCCCCAAGGCGGGATGGTGATACCAGCTCAGCACCTCAGGGTGGAGGCATGGAATGAATGAGACTCTGGGGGTTGCAAACCCCATCAGACCTGGTCTTGATTTTTGAGGAGCTCAGAGGGACACAAGGCATAGATAGGTCTTTCGATTATATGAGTGTATACCCGATGGGCAGCCGTGAGGACAAGGGACAGAGTTCCTGAAGAACTCACAGATAAGGGGTCATTTGGTTTGGACCTTGAAAGTTGAGAAGATTGGGAAGAACCAGGTGTGGTGGCTCACAGTTGTAATCCCAGCACTCTGGGAAGCTGAGGCAGGAAGTTTTTCTGTAAGTTCAAGTCCTGCCTGGGCAACTTAGCAAGCCCCTGTTTCAAAAAATAAAACACAATAAAGGGCTGAGGATGTAGCTTAGTGGTAAAGCACCTCTGGGTTTGACACCCAGTACCAAGGGTGGGGAAGGCATTAGGGGAGAGGAGGACATTCAGAGAGGGGATGTGGTGTGAAAGTGCATGCTCTGATCAGGGATGGCAAGAGGAGAGGATGCAGGAAGTTGTCCCAAAAAGGATGACTACGATGAGAGCAAGGGCTTCCTGGTACCAATCTGGGAGTTTGGACTTCTTGGCCTGGACACCATGGAGCCATGGGAAATTATTTTTTTCACTGCTAGGAGTTGAACCAAGAGCCGTGAGTATGCTAGGCAAAGGTAGGACATTTTTTTTTTTTAAGTAGGGAGAGTATCATGGTATTTGAATCTCTGAATGGAGGCAAAATGAGCTGAGGGGGTCAGTTTGCAGACCCCGGCAGGGAGTCAGGCCAATGCTGAGAAGGCCTAAGTTGGAGTGTGTGCCAGAGGCATGAAGAGTTGGGAAGCGCGCAGAGGCGTGGGGAGTGGGCAGCGTCAGTCTGAAGCCTTCTGAGCCAGGGAGATGGCTGCCTTTCTCCTCCCACTGGCCTTGGAGCCCCCGGCTGGGCCATCAGATCCTGAACTCTGCCTGTTGGGGTCCCTTCCCCTTTGGGACTTCTTCTGGCCATGGTGATTGTGAAAAACGGCAGCATGGAGGGCACAGCCACACTGGGCCCTGAGAACTGCTGGGGACAGGTGTTTTGTGCAGCAGCTCACAGTCTCTTGTTGGAAACAGCTCGCTGGAGGCCTGTGTGGTAGACTCAGGCAAGAGAGGGTGAGTTTACTCCTGGCCTTTGGTCATTCACGCTGCACAAGGCTGGGAGGAGCCCAGGAGGAGACAAAACACGGAAACTTATTCCCCAAAATGGAAGATGAGTGCAATTATAGAGGATCTTTATTTAGCTGTTTATTTTGTTTTCTCTGTGTCATCTATTTTATTTTCCTCTCCAATGACTATATATTCTTTGAGTCATTCAAAGGGGGGAAAAAGACACAGCAATTTGTATACCTGGATGCTGCAGCAACCGGGCCCAAATTAGATGCCCAAACACAGCTCTCTTACTCTGTGCCTTTGATTCCTGATCTTTCTCTGCCTGCTGGCAGGCCTCAGAGACGTAGATGAAGGACTTAGTTGCTGTGGGTGTTTCTTTTTCTTTTGGTACCGGGAATCAAACTTGGGCCTTTTGCTTGTGAGGCAGGCGGTGGAACCACTGAGCCAAATTCCCAGTCCTCCTGTGGGTGTTTCTGTGGGGTGTACTTGGGGGCTCTGCTCCCCTCCTGTCATGCTGCATGGAAGAGTAGGCTGCTTCTGGCTGGGATTCAAGTCCCAGATCTCATTCCAGTCCTGCAACCTGTATAATGGGGACCGTGATGGTCCCCACCTCTTAGGGTGACAGTTGCGTGTCTGGCTCTGGCCCTCAGCCATCTCATGATTTGGTGATAGTGATAATGGTCTTTGCTTTGCTTTGTATGTGGCTTGTCCTCCTAAAGTGCCTGTGCCAAGAGCTTGATCCCCAGGGTGGCAGGGTTGATGCAGAACCCTCGTGATTGAGCTCACAGGAGTGAGTCAGCTCTAATACAGCTGGATTAGTTCCTGAGAGACTGGGAACTTATGAATGAGCCTGGTGCCTTTCTTGAATCTCTCTTCTACACATTCCTCTCGTCATTCTCAAACTGCTCCTGCCGTGTGATGCCATCTATCGGGAGGCCCTTTCCAGAGGGGAGCAGATGCTTGTGCCATGCTCTTGAACTTCCAGAACTGTCAGCTAAATAAATCCTTTGTCTTTATAAGGTTCCCATCCTCAGATATTTTGTGATAGCAACACAAAATGGACTAACACATTCTTCAAAATAATAACAGGGCCAGAGGCGCATGGCTCACATAAGCAGGGACCAAAAATCTTGCCTTTTCTCAGATACCACTGAGAGGACAAGGGTACTTCAGGGAACAGAGCCCAGGTCCACTTCCTCTCAGGTGGCGCACGCCTGTAATCCCAGCACTCAAGAAGCTGAGGCAGGAGGATTGGCTCAAGTTTAAGGCTAGTCTGGGCCACATAGTGAATTTAAGGACAGCTAAACTACATTTTGAGATCCTGTCTCAAAAAATTAAAAAGAAAAGCAAAGAAAAGACCTCAGAGGGACTTCTGTGGCCCAGCTAGTGTGCAGTTGGAACCTGCCACCCTCAGGAAGAGGACCAAAGGCAGACCAAAGTCTTTGGAGCTGTGTGTGTGTGTGTGTGTGTGTGTGTGTGTGTGTGTATGTGTCTACCTGTAACTCTGCAAAAGTGCTTCTCTGCTTGTATGTATGTGTGTGAATCTGCCTGTGTCCAAGGGCATGCTCTCATGTAAATGTGCATGTAGATATGCCTGGGATGCTCGGTACAGTGTGTGTTTGGTGTACACACACTCCTCTGCATGCCTGCTGTGTGTGTGTGTGTGTGTGTGTGTGTGCGGCTGTACCAGTGCATGGGAGAGAGGAAGAAAAGAGTGGGCCCCGTTGCCTCACCCTGTGGTCTGTTGGTCATCTGTGGCCTTGCCTCAGATTCGGAGGAAGCTGCCTTTGGAAGCTGTTCATTTCCATAATGCCGTCCCTCTGTCCTTAGGAGTGCTGCTGGACATACAGAAGTTTTTTCACATCAGTGACAGCAATGCTGGCTTGCTTCAGACAGGTGAGGAGCAAAGCTATGGTCCTAGGCCTGGGCCCTGGGCTCACCCTGGGGTGGGGTCTTCCAGGGGGTCCTGTGCCCAGCTCCAGCCCCACTGAATCCCCCCACACAGAGGAGTTGTGGGAGCTGGGCTTCGGGAAGAACAGTCATGGCTGGGTTGAGGCCCAGGGCCTGAGCAGCCCCTGTACGCTGAGCTGGGTGTGCAGGAGGACCACTGAGTCACCACTTTGCGGTTGTCATTCATTCCCTACAAGTTTGTGAACTCAGCTGTGCACCAGACTCTCTGAGGGCTGAGGAATCCGGTTTTTATTTTTATTTATTTATTTATTTAATTTATTTTTGCTTTTCGTTTTTTTGAGACAGGGTACCACTATGTGGTTCAGAATGGCTTTGAACTCACTATGGAGCCCAGACTGGCCTTGAACTCTCAGCCTCCCGAGTGCTGGGATTATAGGCCTGTGCCACCACACCTGGCATGAGAAATCTTGATGTGTGCTTTTCTCTCACAAAGCTGAAAAATCTAACTATGAGGACACCACAGACTGTCAGGCTGACAGGCACACAGCCCAATGTGTGTTTGGTACTCTGGACCAGAGTAATCTAAAGTCCAGCAGCAGGGAGCAGCCGCATGTCCCAGTCCAAGGTGGGGGCAAGTAGAGCCAAAGGGCACAGGCTCACCTGTCCCCTATGTACGCACATATATGTGCACACGTGGTCACTACACATGACACCCATGCGTCCACCCCAGCCTGCAGCAGTACACACTGTGGCTCCTCTCTACAGCCACTCCCCCAAGCAGCCCTCTTCTGCTCCTTTTTTAAAAAATTTTGTTTTTTAGGTTTTTCTTTTGGGAGACATTGTCTTGCTTTGCACTACTCCCTCCTCTTAACCACCTACCATCTCAGTGCCTTAGGACAGGGCTCTCAGACTAGGTACAAGTCCCTTGAGGGGCACACAAAAAATTCCAGAGGCGACATGGAGGGACCCACTTCCAGACCCATGAGCCTGCAGGTCTCTTTCCTGAGAACAGGCCTGCGCCAGCCTGTGGGGCTCCCTGTTCACCTCCATGTTTACAGCCTCCTGTCTACCGTCCGAAGCAGACTTGCACCTCCGTCCTGCATGCACTGCCCTGGGGCCTGGAAAGTCTAGGCAGAGGAGCGGGATGTGCGGCTTCTGCAGACAGGGAAGGAGCAGAGGGAGCAGAGACTGCAGCAGAAGGGCGCCGGCGGTCTTTTCTTCTGACAGACCTTATCTACACAGCTGCCCTCTGTGCGTGACTGCCTGCTGTTTATCTACGAGATCGGGTTCTGAAGTGAGAGAGTGGTCACAGCGATGGGTGTCAGCACATTTACTTCGATTTTAAAAATGAAACTGACATTTTTCTCAGCTTGATTTGTCAGATTGGTTTGTCAAAGGAGGGCTGGCTTTACCGCTTGGACTCTTCAGCAGACGATTCCCAGAAACGGAACAAACTTGATCTGTAGCTCTAAGGGCTTGGGTGAAAATAATAGTTTACAAATACAGTTGTCCCTCAGTGCCACCTGAGGATGGGTTCTAGTGCCCTTGTGGAAACAAAAATCCACAGATGTTCAAGTCCCTTTTATAAATGGTATAGTATTTGCATAGAAACTACACCTATTCTGGTAAATTTTTAATTTCTAGGTTACTTATAACTGATACAATATAAATATAAATGTTATTTAGTATACATCGATACAATGTAAATAGTTGTGCTTAATTACCTAGGAAATAACAACCAAGAAAAAATCTGCACGTGTTCAGTGTAGACATAATTTTTTTCCAATTATTTTTGATCGGCAGTTGATAGAATCAGAAGATGTGGGGCCCAACTGTAAACAAAAATGCCGGAAATCACATCCTTTGCAATTACTAGGTCTTCAATAGAAAATGTTTTAAATGTCAGCTGAGAGCATGTGAAGAAGTACATAGTTCTATAAACTTCTGAGTCATGTGAGACCACACTGTAGACCAGGGATCTTTTCCAATTGCCCCTTCCTCCCAGGGCTGGCAGGCCAGGGATGAGACGAATTCATACTTGTAACCAAAGTGAGGCCTTCTTAGTTTGACACCCACAAACCTCTTGATTCAACAGATAATGTCAGTCATTTGCCTGTTTTTCTTTTTCTTTTTTTGGTACTGGGGATCGAACTCAGGACCTTGCGCTTGTGAGGCAGGCAGCAGAACCACCGAGCTAAATCCCCGGCCAATTTGGCCATTTTTCTACTGAGCTTCTGTTTGCCCTTAATGTATTTTGGAAGTAATTTTTGTTTTTCAACAGATAATGGTAGTCATGTTGATAATTGAGTCAACATTTCCCCCTGCTGGTTCTTATCATGGAGATAGGGATTATTTCCATAGGTTTCTGATAAGTGAGGTGCCATGAAAGAAGAGGGGTGTGAGCGCGTGTGTGTCTTATGTGTGGTAGATGGGGATAAGAGCCATCTTTGCTGAAGTAGCACAAATAGCTGTGTGGAAAGGGCATTGAGCTTGAAGGGCTGGTCATTGGGTTGGTCTCTGGTGGCCTCAAGCAGTCTCTTCACCTTCTAGGGTCATTATACAGTGATCCTGAGACCCACATTGCTATTTGACTATATAACTGCAGAGCAAAGGAAGCTGCTCTCCTAGAGCGAGCTTGACAGAGCTGAAAGAGTGGAGTGGGAGGTTGGGGAGTCAGTGGTTAGGCCCCCTCTGCATCCCATGGCATGGAGAAATGGTTGGAGTAACCAGTAATGGTTACAACCAAGCCAGGTGTGGTGGGTGCCCAAGTTCAAGCTCAGCTTGGGCAACTTAGTGAGACTCTGTCTCAAAATAAAACACACAAAAAGGGAAGGGGTATAATTAGGTGCTGAGGCCCTGGGTTCAATCTCTAGTACTGTAAACAAAGCAAAACAACAACAACCCAAACCAGCACTGACTTGGCCCTTAACATATGCCAGGCACTATTCTAAGTGTTTTAAATATAAACTCATTTAACTTTCACCACAATCCCACAAGGCAGGTGTTATTATTATGATGCCCATTTTATAGATGATCAAACTGAGATTCAGAGATGTGGTGAGTCCTTTTGTTTGGTTTTGGTTGTTGTTGTTTTTTGAGACAGGTTCTCGCTTTGTAGCCCAGGCTGGCTTTGAACTCACTGCAATTCTCCTGCCTCAGCCTCCTGAGGGCTGGGATTACAGGCAGCACCACCACACCTGGCTAGGTTGTAAGCATTGCTAAAGCTAGGGTTCAAATTCTGGAAGTCTGCAAGTAGAGTCTCTTTCCTAACTGTGTGATCACTAATTCCTTCTGCCTGTCACTGAAATGGTTTGAAACTGGAGATTGCTAGGAGTGAGGAGTGCCTGCCTTCTCTGGAAGATGGGCATCTGCATACGGCCACACCACTTGCAGATTTAAGGCATTTGGGTCGTATAAGTGATCCATGCCCAATACCCCAAGAAAATAGAAAAGATTTGGGAAAATACTTTTTATAAACTTTTGGTAAAGTTTTATGTATAAAAAAGACATGGAACAATCTTTCCCCACCAGAATAAGGCTGAGAAACTTGTCTACATCTTAACCAAACACCTCTGCATGATAGCGATGAAAACTATGCAATTAGTATTAATAACAGTATTAATAACACTTACTGGGCATTTACATGAAGCCATTCAGATCTCTTGTAGACATTTTATTTTATCTTCTCCTCTAGTAATCTCGTACAGGAAATACTATCACTGGCCTGTGGGACAAAAGATGTGTCCACCATGCCCAGCATAGAACTTTCATTAAAGATAAACAAACAAACAAACAGGTTGGGGATGTACTTCATTGGAAAGGTCCTGCGGTTCAATTTCCAGGCCTGCAGGAGGGAAAATGACTTGGAGAAATTCCAAAATACGGTGAGGGGAGACAAAAGCTCAGTAAATAATGGGCAAAGGATACAAACATAGAAACTGTTGATTTCCCTCACTGGGAATAAGGACAATGCTGATTTAAACAATCAGCAAGATAGTAGTTTTTCATTAGATGAACAAAAAATAAGATGATTGGTCCTATCAAATGTCAGCGATAGTGCCATCTAGCATGTGTAAATTGATACAGCCTTTTAAGGGCTGTATTTTGGCAGTAGCTATTAAAATTTTAAATGCCATTGACACCAAAGATCACTTTCTGTGGAATACTAGGTTAAGCCATGTTAAATTGCTGGTTTTGAGGGCTGGGGATTTAGCGCAGTGGCACTGCGCCTGCTGTGCAAGGTCCTGACTTCTGTCCCCAGTACTGGGGGCGGGGGAGTGGGAATTGCTGGTTTTGTAGATCAAAACTGGTCAAATTTCCACAACTACGTATGGCTTGAACTGTAGTTCATGGTGGAGCGGGTCTGGAACCTGACCTGAGAAGAACCTGGACATTCATTGGGCTCAGGAAACGTCAATCATCTGTACTCAGCATGGAGACCGCATTTTGGCGGGACTTTCTAAAGCCTACAGCCCTGGAAAAGGGCTGGGGTGGGGGTGTCCAGACTTGACTTTCCCCACCTGTCTGTGCTCCCAGCTTGCGACAGTGGCTTACCATCCTTCAAAGGTAGAGGAAGGGACCTAGGATTTAGCTCAGTGGTGCCACCATCTGCCTCGAGATCCCCGATGCAAACAAAACAAAAGTAGAGGACAGTTTATTGAAAGTGCAGAAGTAGTGTGTGCATTTATCTGTGTGACATGCACTCAGTTTCCTTGTCCTCACAGACTAGCAAACATATTCATTAATCCAGTCGCAAATATTAGTAAAAGCTTCTTTTTCTTTTTTCTTTTTGGTACTGGGGATTGAACTCGGGTCCTTGTTCTTGCGAGGTAGGCAGTGGAACCACTGAGTTAAAGCCCCTGCCCTGAACTCGGGACCTTTTGCTTGTGAGATAGATAGATAGCAGCACCACTGAGCTAAATTTCCGGCCTAGTAAAAGCTTATTTTATTTATTTATTTTTTTCACTTTTCTTTTTCAGTACCAGGAATCAAACCCAGGGCTTTGCGCTTGCTGGGCAGGATCTGCGCCACTGAGCTGCTGAGCTACATCCCTGGCCCAGTAAAAGCTTCTTTTAAAAGATGGTATAGATGCTACTGTTAGTGTCTGGGGAATAATGTACCTGCTTATGAAAACCAGCTACTTCCGAGCCTCCTGGGATCATTTCTGGTTTGCAGTCAATGTGCTCATTTAAGCTGTCCTCATCTGCTGGTGGAAGCGGGCCCAGGCTGCAGGCGTGTTCAGGACAATCAGATCAGTCCCCGTGTCAGGCTCCTGAGGGTCTCATGTGCTTGCTTGCTTGTTTGTTTGTTTTTGAGACAGGGTCTTACTCTGTAGTTGAGATTGACCTGGAACTCACTCTGTAGTCCAGGCTCATCTTGAACTCACAGTGATCCACTTGCTTCAGCCTCCCGAGTGCTGAAATTACAGGTGTGTGCCACCACGTCTGGCCTCATGTGCTTGCAAAGTCAGGAACCGGCAGCCTCTCCATGCTGGTGCTCCACTTCTCCCCCTTTACACAGCCGGGAGAGGGTGTCGGCAGCTCCAGGGCTGGGGCAATGTTCAGGGATGCTGCACAGAGAGTCTGTGGTAGAGCTGGGATTTGGCCCAGGCCATGTGGCGCTGCATGCTGTAGTCTGAGTTGTCTGTTGGTAGAGGATTGTGACATTCACCTTATCTTTTCCTCCTCATGCCCGGGCCCACTGCCAAGATGCCAGTTTGTAGCATCTAAGCCAGTTCTCTTCCTGGGTTTGCGGGACTGTCTGCCTGCCCATTGTCATGGGGAGAATCCAGGCTGCCCCTTGTGTGTCTCCTCCAGTCTTCATTGGGTGCCTGCTGTTGTCTGCACCAGTGTTTGGCTACGTGGGTGACCGCTACAGCCGCAAGGCCACGCTGAGCTTCGGCATTTTGCTGTGGTCGGGGGCTGGCCTGTCTGGCTCCTTCATCTCCCCTCAGGTAGGTGTCCACCTCCTGACCTGTGTCTGGGCTTCCTCCCTGATCTGTCTCCCTGATAGGTGATGGGATGGTTCTGCCCTTTTTCTGGCCCAGGCTGACTCAGAGATTGCTCAGGCCTGAGCCCCCCAGATCTTCCCATTAGACTTTCCTAAAAGGAGGTTCCCTCTTTTGAATATCCGTGGTTGTCCTTGGCCTTAGTTCCACCTGGTGCTGCTGCAGGTGGGGTAGGGCTTGGGTAATAGCTCCTGCCTTGAGGGAATTGGCCTGGTTAAATAAGAGACTCAGAACAAGGGCTCCCCTGGGTGTGGGGCAGGCGGTGGCTGCAGGCACCAGCAGGGGGCACCCGTGTGACTCTGGAAATCTGGTGTGGGGGGAGATAATTGGGGGGGGCAAGTATCTGTAGCCCTCGTCCCCTACCCTTTCCCTAGGGGTCTATGTTCTGAAGTCCTTTCGGTCCTTCTGATACATGCTCGGGTTCCCTGCCCTGTGGGCAATTTCTGGAATTCACTGTGGTCTCGTGTCCATTTTGCCCAGTATTCCTGGCTCTTCCTCCTGTCCCGGGGAGTTGTGGGTACTGGCACAGCCAGCTACTCGACCATTGCACCCACGGTCCTGGCTGACCTCTTTGTGAAGGACCAGCGGACCCGCGTGCTGGCCATCTTCTACATCTTCATTCCTGTTGGAAGGTTGGTGTCCCCCATCCCCCCATCCACTTCCCTCAGTGAGCAGAGTCAGAAACAAGTCAGAACAGGGACTGGGCTGGGGTGGGAGAGGACAAACCAGGAGGTCTGGGATCTAAATCCTGGCCCTGCCCTTTCCTTATCATGTCACTTTGCCCCTCTGAGCCTCAGTTTCCTCGGCTGCTGATGGGGACGTATGGCCACGTGATAGGGCTATGGGGAGACCTAGAGATAATAAGGACGTCCCCACAGGTCAGTGTGCTCCTGCTCTGAGAGGAGCGAGAAGCCTGTGAGGCCGGCTCAGGGAGGAGCTGGCCCTGGAGGTGAGGCAGGAAGTGTGTCAGGCCGCACCCTTCACGCCCCGCAGGAAGGATGGAGAGGGGTTTACAGTCAGGCTCCTGAGCTCTGACCCAGGTTTCCTGACTTGGCCTGACTCAAATAGGGCTGAGCTTTGGGCCTAGGGGTGGGGCTTTTGATGGGATATGTTTGTCCTCAACTGGGGAGGCAGTGGCACTGTGGGGGGGCAGAGGTCACCCGTGAGCTGACCAGGGGCAGTGGAATCTGGGCCTCCCGGAGCTCGTTTTTCTCTGCTCTGTCCCTGCAGAGAGCCGGATCCCGGGCAGGGGCACCCTTGCCTCCTGCTCATCTTTCTCACCTCTCTTACAGTGGTCTGGGCTATGTGCTGGGGTCAGCTGTGACGAAGCTGACGGGGAACTGGCGCTGGGCCCTCCGAGTGAGTCTGGCTTCCTTTTCTTCCCTCTGCTTTCCCCTGGGCCGGCAGGGACTTTCCAGCCTCCAGTGGCCTTAGCCCCTTGGCGCAGTACCCGGCGCCATGGTGGGTGTCAAACGTCTGCAGCTTTGGGCAGTTGGGACCTCGGATGGAGCACAGGCTATGCAGGTCGTGACCTTGGGTTCAAATCCCAGCAGCTGAGTTTGTGAGCTGTGTGACCTCAAGTGAGTTGCACCCCTCTCTGCAGCTGGGGTTTGCCTGTTTGTGAAGTGGGGGCAGCAAATGCTACGGAGTCTTGAAGGTTACTGAGATGAAGACTGGAAAATGCCTGCTCCAGGTCCAGGCGCTTGGTAGGCTTTGAGGATTGGCAGAAAAGGTTATGCAGTGGAGCCAAGATGCCCGGGAAGATACCTGCTGGGCTACAGCCACCGTCAACACAGTCTTGGGCAGGGATTTGGGCCACTCAGGGGAGGAAGGGACTTGGTGGCCGAGGGGACTGGGGGTTCTGTCCTGTGTCCAGATCGCCGCTGAGCTGTCCAGATGCTGAGGGAGATGGCATGTGAGACCACAGTAGGCAGGATCAGGACCCCGAGGTGGGTTGGGTTGGGCTTCAAGAGGGTCAGTCTGGCTGGGCTGTGGTGGCACACACCTGTGATTCCAGCATCAGGAGGCTGAGGCAGGAGGACTGCCATGAGTTTGAGGGCAGCCTGGGTGACACAGTGAGTTCAAGTCCAGCCTGGACTACACAGTGAGAACTTGTTGCCAATAAAAGTAAAATAAAGGTCAATCTGACTTGGGTTGACTGAGAGCTTTCTCATGGTCACATCTATTTGAAGTCTGCCCCAAGGAAGGTAGTGAGATCCCCATCCTTGGAGTATAGTCTGGGGGCCAGCCAGGAGAGGGTACTACGGGAGGCCTGGTGTGGCAGATGGAAACACAGACCAGGAGAAGGGAGAGCTAAGTTTCGGAGCAGCACCTACTCCGTGGTCAGCCATCTCACTTCCACCCATCTCAGTAGAGAAGCATCTGTACCAGGCGAGGGCACCCAGCTTCCTAGTGAGGCTGTACCCTCCGGGGTAAGGGTGCATGGAACAGTAGCATGTCCAGCTCTAAATATAAGTAGCATTAGGACCCAGGGCTTGGACCACAGGGTACAGACACTGGCTGGTCTCCCCTGGGTCTCTGAGGCCTCAGATGCTCGGGACCTCGAACCCTTCTGTCCTCAGATCATGCCCTGCCTGGAGGCTGTGGCCTTGATCCTGCTCGTCCTGCTGGTTCCAGACCCACCCCGAGGAGCTGCTGAGAGGCAGGGGGAGGTGGCCATGCAGGCCCTGAGGAGCAGCTGGTGGGAGGACATCAGATACCTGGGGAGAAAGTGAGTGTCCCTGCTCCCTGCTGCAAGTTGCAGACCCCTCCCCCCGCTTCCCCAGCATCCCTGACTCCCCCTCTACCTCCAGGAAGCCCTCCCTTGTCTTTCATGTTCATGTCTCTCTTCCTTCTCTGAGCTGCCTGACCTACTGAGAAGCCCCTCTGTCACCTGGGACTCAGTCCCCATGGCATGTGACAGAAGTGTGGGTTTCTGGGGAGGGGGAGTGGTGAGGCCTCCAGTCTTGCCTCTGCCACCACCCCACGTGGCCCTGAGACTTGGGGCCTTGCTTTCCTCACTTACCCGAGAGGCACTTTTCCGCACCTTGCTGCTTCTCTGGGCTGACAGGAGGATGCTGGGAGCTCAACACCACCTCTCCAAGCTTCACTGCAGGGCACTGGCCTCTGTCCCAGGCACATGGGGAGCCAGGCCTCAGGGTTCACTGCAGTGTGGCACATGACAACACTTAGCTTTCTTTGTCCCAGAGCCATGAGACAAGGTCGGGGGACTCTGAGGTCAATGGGGGCAGGCAGGAACAGGTTCCCAGAGAAAATGAAGTTGGGTTGGGGACCTCAGGATGGGAAGATGTAGTCCTATGAGGGTGGGGGAGGCACAGTGGAAGCCAGGCAGGGGAACTGGGCTATGGATGATGTCTCGGGGACATCAGGGAGGCTGGAGTGCAGGGTACTTCTTCGAAGGACCTGGAGGCTGGAGCCTGCATACCTTGTTGGGTGGTGGTGGTGGACCCCTTCAGCCCCAGTCTGCTCTTGACCTCAGCCAGGGCTCTTTCTCTTGCAGCTGGAGTTTTGTGTGGTCGACCCTTGGAGTGACAGCTATGGCTTTTGTGACTGGAGCACTGGGCTTCTGGGCCCCCAAGTTTTTATTTGAGGCCCGTGTAGTACATGGGATGCAGCTGCCTTGCTTCCAAGAGCCGTGCAGCAGCTGGGACAGGTGAGGAAGAGCAGTGGGGGACTCTGGGCACAAGTTCTCAGGAGACTGCGAGCCTCAAACTCTGTCTTTCCGGATGTGTGGTGTGCTGTGATGACCACCGGGCTGGACACCCGTTGGTAGGCAGGAGGCCTGGTTTCTACCTCTGGTTGAGGCCTGCCACCCTGTGTGGCCACTGGCAGCTCCTTTCGGCTCTCTAGGCTAAATCTCAGTCTTCTCTCTCTAAGCATGCTGTGGGGGCCCAGAGGGCACCGCCAGGGGAGGGGGCCTTCTGTGCTTCTTGGGAGATGACAGGAATCTTAGGTAATGGCCTGTGGTCCTTTGGAGGGGCTCCTAATGCCTTCTGAGAGGTCGCTCCATTTTCCTTTTGCAGACTGAGGCACTGGGCACCTCTCTGTCTGTCTTTGGGCTTTCATGAAGGTGTTCGTTGGTTCTCTAAGAGCCCAAGCAAATCTGCTGGGATGTGGAAGGTGGCCCTCCGCCCTCGGGGGATGCCTGCCCCCATATCCTCCCTCAGTGGTCTCTACCACCTCTGTCCCTATGCTCCAAAGACTCTGGGACCTCCTGATGCTGAGTTGAGGCCACCTTTCATCCTGTCTCACTTGTCTGCCCTCCTCCTTGAAGCCCTTGGTCCTTGTCTGTCCTCTCTGCTTGGTACTTTTCCATTGCCTTGTGTTCCCTTGTCTGCCTTGATCCTGCCCTGCTGGATGCTTGGAGTTCCTTAGGGGTGTGGAGCCCCATCTTCCCCTTGGGCATCAGCAGGTAGCATGGTTCTCTGCTGGCCACACTCAATTTATCTCCTCCTCCCCAGCCCCGCCCTTCGTCTCTGCCTCACTCCTTGACACACACACACACACACACACACACACACACACACACACAGGGAGAGAGAGAGAGAGAGAGAGAGAGAGACAGAGAGAGAAAGTGCTTTTCACAGTTCCCAGAATGTCCACGGCTTTTCACTTGTCTGTGCCTTTGCTCCAGCTGTGTCCTGTGCCACTGCCTCCCTTCACTTTTCTCATCATTGCTTAACTTTCACTTTAATGCAGGCCCCATGCCAGGCATTTCATCCAAAGAACCCTCAGAAGAATGCTTTCCTATTATCCCCATGTTATAAACTCGGAGATGAAAGATCAGAGAGGTCAGGTGACTTGTCCTGGGTCATATGGCTAATGCGCGAGAGAGCCACGATTCAAACCTGGGTGGCTTCAAAGCAGCTTCTCAGAAGCCCCATACCCTGTGGCCTCTGGAGACTACCTGCTGCTGCTGATTGACTTGAACATTGCTCCCACCAGCTGGCAGGGGCTTGGTGGCACACAGTAGGTGCTCAGGGAAAGCTTGTGAATGAATGCACAGTGAGATGGTGATTTTGTTGTTGTTGTTGTTGAGGCAGGGTCTCACTATGTAGTTGAGACTGCCCTGGAACTCACTATGTAGCCCAGGCTGGTCTCGAACTCTCAGTGATCCTCCTGACTCAGCCTTCTGAGTGCTGGGATTACAGGTGTGCGTCAACATGCCCGGTGAGACTGTGCCCGGCTCCACAACTAGAAGGTTCTCTCTCTGAAGGCAAAGGTGCACTGAATCCTAGAAACCCTCTATCAACTGGAAACAGTGGGGAGAAAAGAGAACTCAGCTCCACTTCTGGCATCCACGGGTTGTACATTCTCGGTCAAGTCCCTCCCTTTTCTCCCACTCAGCTCCTGCACAGACCGGTGTGATAAACTGAGGGGATGAGTTGAGTTCTGAGTTGCCACAAACTTGGTAGTTTACAGCAGAAATTTTTTTCCTCATAAATTTGGAGGTTTTAGTGGATCTGAATCAGGGTATCAGCTGGGCCACACTCCCAGAGACTCTGCGGGTGGGATCTGTTCCTCAGCTGCTGGTGGCTGCGGGCATTCCCTAGCTTGTGGCCACATCACTCCCATCTCTGCCTCCCTGGTCCCAAAGCCCTCCTCTTTTCTGGCTGAAATCTCTCTGCTGCCCTCTAATGAGCACAAGTGTGACTGCATGCAGAAAAATCATTCTGTGTCAAGGGCTTTAATTCAATCACATCTACAAAATGCTCTTTTCCTTAGAAAGTCTTTGAGATTAGGACATCTTGGGATGCCATCACTGAGCCTCCACCACTCTCCCCCAAGTGGCAGAAGAACTTCAAGCTGGAGTTCTGCACAGACCTGAGATGCATTCCAGGGCGGGAAGCTATAGGGCGCAGGGTTGGGGGCAGCCACAGGGAGAACTTCCAACTTCCAGAACTAAAATGGCCCAGCAGAAGGGGCTGCCTGTGAGGGAGTGAGATTTCTATCCCCAAGGGTGTGTAAGTGGAGCTGGGACAGCCACTTGCCAGGGTATTGTGTAGGGGAGCAGTACAGAACTTATGGACCCTTCGGGATCCTCTTTCCTCTGAAAGTGTGATCCTGGGCAGGCACTGGGGTGAGGGAAGGGAGCTCAAAGGGCGTGGTGGCTGGGGCTTGTCCTCTAGTCTTGCCTCTTGCCTGGGGGCCAGTAGTGGGGGCACTGGCCACGCTGCCTGTTTGCATTATCAATCTTAAGTCTCACAAAGGTCTTGAGAACCTGCCAAGGCCAGCTCAGACCCGGACTCAGAGGTGACTGACATTCATCCAGGACTGGGGTCACTTGACATGAACTGGAGGCTTGCTGGGCTTGGAAGTCTGGGAAAGGTTGGTGAGGACTTTTATGCTGGCACAATACACATGTGCTTCCATTTGGTAGGAACCTCTGTCTCTGCCTTTTGAGGGCTCTGGGACCTTAGGCAAGTTCCTGTGCTCTCCGGGCTCCACCCTCTCTTCTACACGCTGAGGGGAGGGACAGGGAATGAATGTGGGTTGGACATTTCACAGAAGATACTCAGAGTTAAGGGAGGTGGTTTTTGTGGTACTCAGTTTGTCAGTAACATCTTGCACCAATCACATTCTGACATCCTGGTGGGAGATTTGGAGTAACAGCAGGGCTTCGGCCTTCCCACACAGTTCTGGACTTGTTTGAAGGGTTGTGGGCAGGGGGAAAAGGGTCTGGAACGGGTGTGGGAGCAGTGGAGCTCAGGGTTAAGGGGACAGTGTGGGCCAAGGCAGGGAAGCCAGAAAGCAAAGGATGACTTTGAGAATTTTCAGTTGTTTTTGCAGATGAGGAGGGAGAGGAGAGAGGCAGCCATGCAGGTCAGCAGGGGCCAGTCCCCTGGGGCCATGAGGGCTGGCCTCTAGCTTGTGCAGAGGGCAATAGGGCGACACAGAGGGGTGGGAAAGGTCCTGGCTGGCTTTGGGTTTCCAAGGGCTCACACTGTCATGGTCTCAGCTGTGCCTTTGAGCTGAGTGAAGTCAGGAGGGGCTGCTCGGGCAGAGTGGAAGGACAGGATTCCAGGAGAGGTGTACACAAAGCCAGACAAGGGCTGGGTACGCCACAGCAGCTGGAAACACACGTGTTTGCTTGCTTGCCTCCGTTCCTCTTGAAAGAGAGGGCTGGGCCCAGAGTGTGAGCCTAGAAATAACTGAGGTTTCCAAGGGGGCCATTTTGGGTGGTGAGAGGGTAGAGATGGTCACTGGAGATGAGGTAGGCTGGGACCTGGGCTGCTGGGGTGCAGGGCCGGACACCCCCATGGCCAGTGGCATCCCCAGAGAGGGGCAGGAAAGGGGATGGGGAGGCAGGGGGAGAACACGGGACTCTGATCAGGCTCCTGAGGTCGCAGGAGCATCAGCTGGGGTGAGGTCTGGTTTGCATGACCTGGGATTAGACACTGGAGGAAGGGCTGACCAAGTCCTCTCTGCTCTCTCCTATCAGCCTGATTTTTGGGTCCCTGACAGTTGTGACCGGAATCGTCGGTGTCATCCTGGGGGCAGAGGCTGCCAGGAGGTATAAGAAAGTCAACCCCCGGGCTGAGCCCCTCATCTGTGCCTCCAGCCTGCTGGCCGCAGCACCCTGCCTCTACCTGGCTCTCATCCTGGCCCCGTCCACCCTTGTGGCCTCTTATGTAAGTGAGGGCCCCTTTGGAGGAAGGTGGGGGACCCTGTTCGTAGAGGCACACACTCTGCCAGATCGGTGTGTCCAGTATGGCGATCGCGTCTTCTGGGGTCTCGTTATCTCCATTTCACAGCCGAGTAGATGGAGGCTTACTCAGAGTTGGGCATCTAGGAAGGGACAGACCCAGAGCCTTTCTGTCAGCACAGCGTGCCCTCTGAGCTCCTGGTTAAGGCTTTGATTTGAGATAATGGGGTGCATCAGGCCAACTCTCCGAGGTTACGGGTGAGGAGAGTGAAGGCCCTGCTGGCTCTGCTTGAAGGGCGACACTGGGTTTCCCAAACACCCCCCACCCATTCCACATGCTGGCCGTCCCAGGGACACGGACGCTGGTACCTTCCAGGCCTTGCTGGTATCTGGTCCCCCCACTGAAGGCACCATTCCCTCTTCTGTGCACTCCCCAACCCTTCTTTTTCTGCAAGACCCAACTCAGAGACTACCTGCACGCAGCTCCACAGACTGCCCCAAGCTCACTGCTCCCGATTGAATGCAACCTGTGTTTGAACTCCGTACAGCTCCCAGGTGTACGGGGCTGGTTCCACACAGGAAGCCCAAAAGGTAGGGACCAGATCCCAAGTATCCCTGTGTGCAGCAGTGTTCCCATCTCCCCACAGCCACACCCCGGCCGGTTTCCTCAAACGGGAGGGCCCACCACTTCAGGGGACCCTCAACCACAGCAGGTGGGTTGGAACTTCCCTCTCTCCCTCCAGTGGATGGCCCTGAGCTCTGTCTCTGGATTAGGGGGTCCCCACCTCTGTGGATTTGTGTACCAGGTTCCCTGGGGAGGCTGGACTTGGATTGCAAATTGACATTGGCTTTATTGTTCCCCCACCAGTACAGATCCATGACCTCATAGCCTTTCTAGTCACACTTGTACACTGAAAAGTCTGGTCTCATTTAAATCACTATTTGGCTCTAGTTCTATTTTTTTGAGACAGGGTCTCACTATGTAGTTGAGACTGACCTGGAACTCACTATAGCCCAGGCTTTCCTCAAACGGGAGGGCCCACCACTTCAGGGGACCCTCAACCACAGCAGGTGGGTTGGAACTTCCCTCTCTCCCTCCAGTGGATGGCCCTGAGCTCTGTCTCTGGATTAGGGGGTCCCCACCTCTGTGGATTTGTGTACCAGGTTCCCTGGGGAGGCTGGACTTGGATTGCAAATTGACATTGGCTTTATTGTTCCCCCACCAGTACAGATCCATGACCTCATAGCCTTTCTAGTCACACTTGTACACTGAAAAGTCTGGTCTCATTTAAATCACTATTTGGCTCTAGTTCTATTTTTTTGAGACAGGGTCTCACTATGTAGTTGAGACTGACCTGGAACTCACTATGTAGCCCAGGCTGGTCTCGAACTCACAGTGATCCTCCTGCCTCAGCCTCCTGAGTGCTGGGATTACAGGCGTGTACCACCACGCCTGGCTCTGGTTCTGAATAAAACTGCACTGGGAGAAGAAGCTGTTGTCTGTCCCAGGCTTCTCATTCCATCTTCTGTGCTTGAAGCCACTGCTGCACTGATTCTGACCCCTCCAGAGCTGCGTGGTTGAGGAAGGCGACTGGGAATGGTTGAGCATCACCTGAGTCTGGAGTTGTTTTTGCTGTCAGTGCCCTCCATGGCTGGACCCTGGGGTTGGGGACACTTTTGTGTTTTGGGGGCCTCTAACCTGGCTGTGGCACCCCCAAATTCCTTTTCAGCTGGGTACTTTTGCCTCTATGGGCAGTCAGGTGGGGCTCCTTCTCGTGACCACTGTGTCTGTCCACCCTGTCCATTCACCCCGGGATAAGCTTAGGAAGGGCAGCCACCTCCACCGCTGCCCTCTCCCCTTACCCCACCCCGCAGCCCGCCCCATCTGGCACCTGCACTCCTACTTCTCCAGGGACCAGCAGGCCCCAGGGTCTGTACTCCCCAGATCTCCAGATGCCATGTGACCAGTGTCAGGGTGTCAGGAAGAAGTGATGCTTCTCAGGTGGCCCTAGGGTGTCCAGCCAGGGAGAAAGGTTGGTTTCCCTCCTAGTAAGCAGTGTCCTTTCTGGGGAAGGGGGTGGCTTGCTGCTACTCACTCATTTTAGGAAGGGCCTCTTAGCTGGATGTGGTGGTGCACGCCTATAATCCCAGCACACTGGGAGGCTGAGGCAGGAGGATCACAATTTTGAGGCTAGCCTGGACTACATAGTGACTTAGTGAGATTTTCTCTCAGAGATAAAAAATAAATGGCTCCTCTTACTTTAGAACCTCCTCTGTGCAAGCTAGTATCCCTTTCCTGAACTGTCCTCAGCCTTGGGCTTCAGCTAAGCGTCTAGGCGGGAGAAGAGGCCTCCTGCAGGCCTTATTTAGTTCTCATGACCCCTGTCATGGCAAGGATTTTCCTTTGCCCCACTTGATTGGTTGGAAAACTAAGGCCCAGAAAAAGCAACAGACAAGCAGAAGGAAAGAAAACTCCAACTAACCCCAAGGATACCTAGCTACGTCCTTCACACAGCACTGACCCTTGTCACCTGGGTGGGAAATATCCTGCCACACAGTGGCACTAAGAAATACCTTCATGCTCCTTGACTGGGTTGGTGGGTGACTGGGATGGTGTTTTCTGGCTGGGGGAGCTGGTGGGGGCTGATGGGGCCCCACCTCACCAGGAGACTGAGGTCCAGGCAGATGGAGGCCCCGTCAAAGGCCTGTCACCCCCATCAGCCAGCTGGGATGTGGACCCCCTGCCAGTTCTACTTCTGCCACTGTCTTGCTTAGCTCCGGGAGGCTGCTTTTTGGCTGTGTTTCGGGGACACAGCTGTCCCCCACCCTGCAGTCTGGCACATCTCCAGATCTAGAAATGACATTGCGTCTTGGTCGCCAAAGCTGCTGGAGAAACTCCTCCCTGGGCCTTCCTGTGTTGGGGCTGAAGTCTGGGAAGGTGGGTGGGCCAGGAGGTGCCCACCTTCCAGCACTGGGAAGGTGCTCAGCCTGTGGGACACCCAGAAGCGCTGGGCACACAGCCAGAGCTCCAGCCTTCCCCTCGGCGGCTCTCTGCCTCGGTGGTGCCTGCTCTCAGAGGTTCTGACTTGAGATTCAAGCTGCGGCTCTTTCCCCACCAGCCATCCTTTGCAAAGCCTGGGTCTACCCTCTCCTGCCTGACCCCTCCGCCCTGACCTGGCTCACGCCTTGTCTTTCTCCAACCCTGCCCTGGAGCTACCTTCCTGGGCTCCTTGCCTTCCTGCTCACCTGCCACACTCTGCTCTTCCCACACCACTCACAGTGGTGAGCTTTCTGACGCCAAGGACCTTCTTTGCTCAGAAGGCCTTGCATGGCTCCCTAGTGACCCCGGATTTAGGTCCAACTCTGTCCTGGCATTCCAAGCCCCTCCATGAACTACCCTGACACCTGGCTGACCTCCTCTGTCTGTGCAGTCCCACCATGCCGGCCCCACACTGGCTCCCTCCTGGACATGCCCCATGCTCCCTGCTCCTCACTCCCCCAGCCTCACCCCCTTCACTTTATGCCCAGATCATTCCAGGCCTTCACAGGCCTGCTCGACACTGTAGTCTTCCCTGATTGCTGGCCTTAGCCCTCTGCCCCATCCTTAGTCTCCTCGGTGCTGTCTTCCTTGGGTTATTTTACTCTGAGTCTTCTCCCAGCCCCAGTCTGGTTCCCGCTTTTCTCAGCACTCCCGGAGCACAGCGCCAGGCACATGGGGAAGGTGGAAGTAATCGATGCTTGTTGAGTGAAGTCAAGTGACAAGCTATTTGTATTCATCAACAGATACTTAGAAGGAGTTGATTCGGTGGCATGTTAGTTTAAATGCCGCAGATGTAGCAGTGAATAAAACAGTCCAAAATATCTCTGTCCTATTAAAAAAAAAATCAGGGCTGGGGATTTAGCTCAGTGGGGCTATGCCTGAATGGCAAATGAAAAGTCTTGAGTTCGATTCCAGTACCAGAAAAGAAAAGAAAAACAAAATATGTCTGTCCTTAGGGAAGTTACTCCTACTTGGGGAGATAGATAAGCAGGATATGTAAGTAAAATTCACAATACTTCAGATAATAAGTGCTTAGGAGAAAAGTAGAGTGGGGAAGGGAAATAGGGAGTGTGTGAGTGTTGGAGGGAGAGGGCTGCAGTTTTATACAGTGTGGCCAGAGAGGGCTCTCTGAGAAGGTGACATCATTATTATTATTATTTAGGCGTTTTAGAGAGGTCTCATTATACAGTTCAGGCTGGCCTTGAACTCACTTTGTAGCCTAGGCTGGCCTCTAACTCACAGTGATCTTCCTGTCTCAGCCTCCTGAGTGCTGGGATTATAGGCCTGCATCACCACGTGAAGCTTTGTTATTTTTAGTTACGGTTTTTGCATCAGACACAGGGCCTTTCACTTGCTAAGAAAGCTCTTTACACTGAGCTACATCTCCAGACTCAGAGGGTTATCACTGAATGAGGCTTGCAGAAAGTGAAGGAGTGAATTGCAGACGATACTTGGGGCAGTGTTTTAGGAAGAGGGAACTGGAAAGCCCGGAGTCAGAAGTGTGTCTGGGTGTGAGGAATAGCAAGGAGGCTGTGGTGGTCAGCGGGGAGAGAGAGAGAGAGAGAGAGAGAGACAGAGAGAGAGAGAGAGAGAGAGAGAGAGAGAGAGAGAGAGAGAG